CGGCGGTCGTAGGCATGACACCTCCATCCTTGCATCACCCTCCCCTTCCCCTTGAAGCGCAAGCCACTAGGTTTACGGGTGCTGCCACCTGGTGGTCACAGGCCACGAGGACATAGTGGGGTGGCTGCCGCAGGCTTGGCTGGCTACAACCTGGCCCCTCTCCCTACGCAGTGCTCGGCCAGCCAGCCAGGTGGAGCACGTTTGCAGGAGGCAGGATAGCTGGACTGCAGAGAATGCCACCTAGAAGGCACGGCAGCTTCATGATTAGGCCCAAGAGCGCTGCAGAACGGGTCCGAGTCCTAGTTCTGCTGCTTCTCCGATATGAGACCTTGGGCTAGTCGACTGATCCCTGGGAGCCTCAGCTTCTTCACCTGCCAAAGAGGTAACCTTGTCCTCCTGTGTTGGGGCCACATGCCCCAACCATCACCTGGAGATTCTTCCCAGAGCACCCCTTTAACTTCATTATCATTTAAAATGGAATTTATGTTAAATTCATGCAAATGAGGTATTCAACTCCAAATTATGTTTATTGTAAGCAAAACCTGGGGCCTTCTGAGAATTTGGGGTTTGTGCAAGCTGCCAGGCTGCTCGGCCAGCCTCTCTCACCAGATGCGTCTACACGCTCTTCTGCTGTTAAGGGTTCGACCACAAGCAGCTCTCACGCACCAGCTTAAGCCCGTTCTTGGCACTTGGCGTGTATCTCAGTTGGCCAGCACACAACAACAAATTATCCTGATTTCACAGAGTAGAGATCAGCTGAGGGAGGCCGAGGAACTTGTTTGCATTCACGTACTTGCTAGAAGAAGGAACCAAGCCTCACACCAGAGTCTGACACGAGAATCCTCGCCTGCCCACCATTATAGAAAGCTCTGGAAGCTGTTGTTCTGTCCCGAGTTCCCCAAGCAGCACATGACAGGGACATTTGCTCACTGATGTACATTCCTCAGTGTCCCAACACCAACCAAAGAAGTGCCTCCTGGCCCAGGGGGCCAAGAAGTGTGCAACCAGCACCTCCACTCCCCCTGCTCTCCCTCTCCCCTCGGGGGACTGCCGGCCAGTGACCTGCAGGACTTGGGCAGGACTTCCAGCTCGCCTTCGGAAAATGCAGCCCGGGCAGGACTTCCTCATAGCGGCTGAATTCCCTGGCTGTTTCAGTTCTCTCTTCCTGGGAACTGCTCTGAACCAATTTACTGAGGGCGCAGGGGTCATGAACACATCTCTTCTACCCACCTACTCTCCCACGCCAGGGCTGGGAGCATGGACCTAGCTAGACCATGGTTGCAGGGTGTTGTGGGGACACCGTGTCCCATCCCTACGGGAGGAAAACTAAGGTCCAGAGAGGGGATAGGGCTCACCCAAGGTCACACACCAAGGGGCAGCAAAGCCCCTGCCTGGCTCTTACCTATTGCCCACTGCCCTGGGTTCCCCCGGGGAAGGCTGACATCCTGTGTGGACCCCGATGGGGACAGGCCTCCCCTCCACACCTGGCGCAGCTCTGTGCATGCTGGAGCTTAGAGACATAGTGGAGAACATGGACTATGGGGAGGCAGCCTGTAGTTGATGCTTGCTTTCCTCCAGGGGCAGATACACTTCCCAGCTCTGGGGAGCCCCAGTGGTGGTCTCACACTGGCTGGGATACACAGGGATGGATGACTGTTTCCAGATCTTCCTATTGTCCTTCTCAGTTACTAAGCAACCAACTAGAGTCTAAATGCTCAGAAGAGAGAAAGCGGACTAGGCCCTGAGTCGTGCCCAAAGGAGCTCAGCCCCCAGGGTGTGGCCGGCTGAGATCTCCGGGGCTATAAGAGTCACCCCTGAGGAGCGGGTAAGCAGTAGGTCTGGGGACAGTGAGGCAGATCGGGGGTACCTGCACACTGCACCACCCACCTACATGCCCTCCAAGAGTCCCCAGGATAGCCTGGGTTTGATGGGAAAAGGGGAAAGGATTATAAGCTGATTTTGTTCTGGGGCCTTGGGCCAGGGACTGCCCCTCTTAGGGCCTCAAGTGTCCCTTGTATAAGATGGGCACATGTCTCCTGCCAGCTTGGCGGGTACAGTGAAGGCTGTATGAATACACTGGTGGACTGTGAAGATGTGGGCCACGTGAAGGGTTAGCACCGTGGTGACACTGGCTCACTTTCAGGATGGCCAGGGTCCACAGTGCTGGACCAGCATCCATCGTGGTCTCTTCCAGGCTGCCCCGGAAGGCCAGCAGAGCCCAGGAGGGGGTGGGCAAAAAAGATGGCTTTTCTGCTCTCCTCCAAAACAGACTGCCCACCGTGAGCAGCCGTTACCCCCCGCGCCCTGAGGCCCTGCCCTTCCACGACACTGCGTGCCTGGCTCTGTTGCCCACAGCTCCCTTGGTCACTCCCAGTCCAGCCATAATGCTCTCCTCACAGTCACCCACGTAGGGGGGTTCCCCTCATTGACCCCCTATTCAAAAAGCCTCTCCTCTCTAAGAGGCCTGGGATGCCTTCGCCCTCACCCAACTGGCAGCAGAGAAGAGGAACTCTACCAGCTACCAGGACTGGATACAGCTCTCCGGGTCCCTGAGGACAGGCCACGGACACAGGCAGGGCTGAAACCCCGTGGGAAACCGCACCTCTCAGGGGCCTCTGCTAGCAAGGATCCCAGGCTGGGGTTTCTCAACCTCTCCACACTGGGGTTGCACTTCTGCAACGGGAAATTACATTTCCATTTTCTTTCCTGAAGGCAAAAAGGAAGAAAGCAGCGACACAGATGAATGACGTGGCGCGTCACACCCCTGGACTGCAGCTGTAACTGCCAACCCCAGGCCCACCCTCCTCACACCCACGTGCTCCTGAGAGCTCACAGCTGCAATGTCACACGCAGATGGGCCCCTGGCAGAAAGGTAGGTGAAGGTCAGGGGGACTGGAGCCACACAGCCAGGGGAGAGGGCCCGGTGGGGCTGGGAGCAGGGCCCCCGCTGGCTCCTCGCCAGGCGCCTCTCTGAGTGTCTTCCTACAGTCCCACCCCAGAGACGGCACCGGGAGGGCTGCTTTCTGCTTCCCCAGAAAACTTGGGCAGTCCTGGAGACCACGCAAGGGCCTCGTCAGGGGCTCTGCCCTGGCAGGGGATTTCTGTCAGATCTGGAGTGCTAAGCGGAGTAGAGGAGTAACGTCTCCCGAGCAGTGGTGAGCCCTAACTTCTGTGGGATTCTCTCAGGATCCTTGTGCCGTGGGATCGAGTCCCAGAAGTGAACTCCAAATTTCTGGCCAGGCCCGAGGACTTGGACACCCAGCTCGGCAGTCCTGGGCCCAGCTTACCTTTCGTACTTCAGGAGGAGGTTTCCTGCAGGCTGGGGCCTGGGGTGTGGACGGAGACACGTGTATGTCCGCGCTTTAGGAAGAGGGAGGGTCCTGAGGGGCCCGGCCCTCACTATCCGAGTGGAAGGTCCTCACCATATGCCGACTTCAGCCAGAAGGTAGAAGGGGCCGAGGGTCTGGGACTCAGACTACCTGTGACAGGCTTCCAGTCCCACAGCCCATAAGGACCAGGCTCTCATTTGCAGTATACCAAAACCTGATCTCACAGGATTTTCATGTGTGTGTGAGCATCTCCTCATTTAGCCGTTTGGCAAATGTGCCCCCAGACAGATGTTGTGGCCGGGCCCGGTGAGCACGGGGCAATGGGACACAGAGCAGCCGCTCAGACACCAGCCTGCCCCCCGGGGGCCCTCAGAGACAGCAGGAGGAGCCGAGCTCAGGGAAGACAGGACAAGGACTCACGTGACTCTGGTGTGTTATGAGAAGCTGTGCTGAATGGGGGAGTCCAGAGGGGGGCAGAGGGCAGAGAGAGGAAAAGAGCTTCAGAGGAGAGGCCACATTTGAAATGGGTCTTTAAAGATGAGCTACGGTATTTGGGCAGAGTTTGGGACGGAAGATGCCTTCTCAGCAGAGAAAATACTGTAAGCCGAAGCCTGGTGCCGGGAAAGTATAGGATTAGTAATTCAAACCCACTCATCCCTTGGTTCCCACTGAAGGCGGTGGCAGGTTCCTCACCATATGGGGTTGGTGGATGTGCCAGAGAGTTTATATTCCTCCAATCCATGCAGGAACAAAGCCCGCTTGTTGTAAGCAGCCTTACTGCATGTGCCAGTAAGATTCTAAAGGACAAATTACCAGAGGTGGAGTGGCTAGGACAAAGGATGCGTGCATTTCTCACCGTGGCAGCCTTGTTACTTGGCCTCTGCAGAGCCCCTGTTGGTTCTTGAGTGAGATCTCCCAGCACTCTCCACCTTCTTCCTCAGGATCTGCCTTCTGCCCATATAGTGAGACATTCATGCCCAAAATGCACTTGGTGTGGTGCCAGGCCCACTTGGAACATGCTAGCTGTTTTTATTCTTTCTCTGGGTCTCCAGGCAGCCTTTCTGGGCCCCCAGGAGCCAGCTGGGCTTCCTGATTCTGTGTCTGTCCACAATTCCTGTTGCTAGAAGCCTCTGTCTCCTCCACCAGCTGGGCGTTCTGGAGGTCAGCAGCTTCTTCTGTTGCCTCTGCTCATTCCCAGCAGCTGATCAGTGCCTGGCTCAGGCAAGGGCTCAGCAAGGGTTTTTTGTGTGACTATTGGATACAAGGAAGGTGTATCCTATCTGCCTGTCCTTCCCTTCCCGGGAAACAGGGCCAGATTGTCTCCAAATGACAGTAGGCCACCAAAACCACACCATGCAAGCCGGTAGGCCTTATACCTTGCAAAGACAAGGACAGGCATCCTTATATTACAGAAAAGAAAGCTAAAGCTCAGAGTGGATGAGTGGTTAATCCTACTCACAGAGCGTGCTAGAGATGAAGCTGAGGCTAGACCCAGCGGGGCTGACCTTCCACACCAACTCCAGCCTTGGCACCATCCTGACTTGGACAGAATGACCATACCCACACTCGGTGCTCTGCTCTGTTTGGCTGGAGGTGGTTCAGCATCCCTGAGCTGGGCAAGCATGTCTAGGCTCCAACCCCATTATTCTGTCTGTGCTCCATCTTTCCCAGGCTCCTGTCCACAGAGAGGGCCCTCACGGTCCTGCATGTGAGCCTGCATCACCCTGCACAGGACCCGGACATCTTTGCCAATGTCCCAGCACAGCTGCAGCATGACACCAGCCCGCTTCTGGTGGGGCGCAGCCTGGATGCCCACCTCCGGCTACAGCTCCCCTGCCTCTCCCGCAGACACCTGTCGCTGGAGCCCTACCGGGAGAAGGGCAGCGCTCTGCTGACCTTCTGCCTGAAGGCCCTGAGCCGCAAGGGCTGTGTGTGGGTCAACGGGCTGACTCTGAGGTTCCTGGAGCAGGTTCCCCTGAGCATGGTCAACAGGGTCGCCTTCTCCGGCATCCAGATGGTGGTCCGCATAGAGGGAGGCACCTCCCTGGAGGCTTTTGTCTGCTGCTTCCATCTCAGCCCCTCGCCCCTGATTCACAGGCCCCAGGCTGAGGAGACTGATGAATGGGAGAGTACCTCCCAGGAGCAGCCTCCCCCAAGTTCAGGGCACTGGGCTCCAGGTCACCTGGGGCTTCTCCATGGCCCTTCCCTGCCAAGCCCTGGAGGAGGAGCAGAAACACAGCTCTAGAAGACCTCAGACAGTGCTAGCCCCACCGGCTGCCCAGAGCAAGCCTCACCCATAAGAGGACTTGAACTCTTGGAGCGACCCCACGCGAGGTTGACAAGCAAGACCTGCTTGGTAATAATGAACTGATCCTGCAAACACGAACAGCCTGGGGTGGGGGAGCGCCCTCCACGGTTACAGCTATGCAAGGTAATGGGAACTTCATATACTTTTAGAGGCCCTGAGAGGTTCTGAGAGCCTCTCTCAAGCCTTTCCCCACATTTCCCTCCTCTTGTCTGCCTAGGAGTTACTTTATGTTGCTAATTTCGCGTGCTGCTTAAGAGCTGGAGTTTGAGGTTTGCACCAGGAATGCATGGACACATGTAACAATTGTTTGTGGTAGCTCGGGGTTACCTTGGCCTTTCAAATACCCACAGGCACTCCGGGCTTAGGGAAGCCTGTATTTAATAAACTGCAAGTATTTCATTAAGCTGGCATACCCAATAGGATTCCCTGATCCCCAGACGGGCTGCATGCGTACCACATTGTCACACAGAGGCGGGGGCAGGGAAATAGAGAAGAGGTGTAAGAGGAAATTGGTAAAGGTGGGGGCTTACATTTCTGGAAAGGATGCGGGCAGAGCTCAGGGTTTCCTGGGGCTGGGGAGCTGGGGGCTGGGCCTGCCTGGAAATCCATTGACCCGGTCATCCTTGAGTTCCCTCACTATCATTTCTGGATCAAAGCCTTGGCTGATCAGAGGGCCAGGTCTTCAGGGAAAGGTAGCTTCCCAGAGCAACGGGCTCTTTCAGGACTAATTCTAGGAGAGGGTGGGGAAGGAGGTTGTGGTAGAATTTAGCTCAGCCGTTATTTTACTCAAAGTGGGCCATAGACCAATGGGGGTGGGGTAGTCTTCTAAAACTAAGGGACAGCTAGTGAGTCACGTGGGCCAAGGGTGGGACAACTTTCTCAGTGAACAGGGGAGCTGAGCACAGCCCCCACTCTCCATGTCATCCTAGTGGCAGTGGGGGTTGGAAGTGTCATTTAGAAACAGCGTTCACCTGTGTAAAGAAGGGAGGGGCCTACAAACTCAGGTGGTCATCATCATCCTAGAGCCTGCTCTAGGATATGACGCCATGGTGCTGCCAACCATGGTGCTGCCAACCTGCCAATCAGGCCTCTTACCACGTCCAACAAGGCTTTTGACACTCTCTACTTCCCACCCGAGAAGAAAAACCCTTTTGCACCCCAGGCAGGCTACAACGAGATTCAGCTGCACTGCCAATTCTTCCTGGGGAAGAGAGCAGTGGGCAGAACCCAGGCCTGTCCTGGCTGGGGAAACTTCCCTTCTAATAGGGAATAAGGCAAGGACACTGAGATTATAGCCACAAGGCACAGGAGGGCAAGGGCTGCAAAGAGAGGGGGCTGTCCAATACAATGAATGGCCCCTCGGGGCCCCCAACCAGTCCTTCACTCAGTCATTCAACAAACTTTCACCAGATGTGAGGCAAAGCCCCAGGAACCCACAGTGAACTAGGCAGGCAAAGTCCCTGCCCTCAGAGAACTTATGTGGGCTCATGAAAGACACCTGTGGAGGAGTTAATCACTTCATTATTTGATCACTGTTACTGGTGCTGTAAATGTGTTTTCTGTCTTCCAGCTGGGGTTAGCATTCGCTGTACCATTAAGTGGCCATGTCTGCTGAGTGCATACTGTGTGCTCAGTGCTTTGCCAGGTGCCATGTGCCTTGTTCAGCTGAATCCTCAAAACACCCGGATAGATCATGGTATTAACACATTGTATCGACGAGGAAATCAAGACTTAGAAAGGGTATCTTGCCCAAAATCATGTCACTCACTAGCTGTGTGATCTTGGGCAAGTGACTTAGCCTTCTCTTGTCTCCATTTGTCCTGCTGGAAAGTGGGTAAGATAATAGTACCCATCCACCAGGATGTTATGACGGTCTTAGGAGGGGGCACGTATAAATCTTGTAGGGAAACATCTGTCACACAGTAGGCACTCAGTACGTGTTAGATACCTACCATGGTGAGACCTAAGAGAGGGAACATAATAGGTCCATATCCAAGGGCTCACCTGGGATGCATATATAGAGCTAGAGGAGGTTGGAAGCCTGGCAGACCGGCTGCAGAGCCCAAGAGCGCACCTGCATCCTGTGATCACCTGATAAAGGGTTTTGTCTTTGCCAGAGACCCGGTGGGCAGTCAGGAGGGGCTTTCACCTGTTGCTTACACCAGAAGGCCCAGTATTCAGAGTTTGTAGGATGGGAGACACCCTGTGTGTCCCACTGTTTTGGAACTGCCTTTATATTTCACACACAGATCCTCAGTGTAGCGAAGATCCCTCCAGAGACCAAGATGTTCCCCCAACTCGACTAGGGAGCAGCAGTACACCTACAGAACTGGGAACCCACAGTCTGGACACTGCACCTGATCTTCGAAGGCAGAAGAGAGGAAGCTGGCTGGGGCCATGCACCCTGGAGTCCCAGGGGGCAACTCCCCCACTGCCATTGAGAGGGGTCCTCTCCCCTCCAGGAAGCAGCAGCAACCCCTCCCAGCTGGGGGTCTCTGAGAAGAGACAGGCTGCCTCCCAATGAGGAGTCTAAGATTCAGAGTCAGGCGTCCCGGCATCCCTCCGGGACAACAGGATGAAGTGCAGGGCAGGCTGAAGGACATGAGCCAGAGACAGGGTGGGAGGGAGCCAAGACACATCCCGCTTGTTTCAGACTCTGTTGATTCACAAACTCTCCTTGCAAAACTCCCTGCTTGCCTCGCACCAGCAGCAAAGCTCTGCTCCAGGCTAGATTCCATTTTTCTTGAGTAGAGAACCGCTCAAATCACCAGGTCCCTGCACCCACTCCCATTTTCACACCTGATACCCCTTTCCTTGGCCTGCAGAGACAGCTTGAGCAGGTCACAGAGACCCTGCCAGCAGTGAAAGCTTTCTCTCGCTCCCACGCGTGTGGGGCAGTGCACGCTGGTGAGGGGGTGCGTGTGCACGCACTGACACAAGCCATCTGCGCCTGCTGGGGTGCCTCCCGGCCGGGGCCTAGATTGGAATTCCTGCTCTACTGTGCACTAGTTCTGTGATCTTGAACGAGGGACTGAATTTCCCTGCTCCTCAGTTTCTTCTGGAAACCGGGGAAGGTAACGGCTGGCCATGGTGGTAAAATGAAGCACCGAATATAAAGTACCTAGGGCAGCGCCTGGCACATAGTAAGTGCTTGATCGTCGAGTTAGCTTTCATTGTCCAGTTCAAAGGACTGAATTGAATGCAGGCAGACCCAGAGGCTCAGCTCACACACACATACACATCCGCTACAAAGAGCTACATCAGTTACACTCAGGCATCCCCCAGAGCACTACAATTCTCTGAGACCACGTCTGGAAATCTAGAAAATCATCCCCTGTGCTCTTTCAGGCATTTTAACCCTCCCGATCCTCTGCTTTTCCAAAACGGGAGTCTTCCCAACCTGTCTGTGAGACACTGCAGCCCCTTGAGCCCCGTTTTGCGGGAGACCCGAGAACGCCCCGTAAATATGCAGGGCTCTGAGGCATGAGCAAGCACCGTGAGGCTGTGATGGCAGACACATTAGACAGCACAGTCCCGGCTGTGGCCTAGAGCAAGGGAGGCCACAGCTGGGCACCCGCAGTTCCACGTGGACATCAGAATGCTGTAGCCATCGTTTTTGTCGCCCTGTGAGACTCCGGGCTCCACAGAGATGAGGACCACGGGTTGTCTGCCGTTGTGTTCCTGGTGGCCCTCAGGGAGCTGGCCAGAGAACGGCTGGACAGACAGATGGGCAAGGAAGCGGTCATGAGCCAGGCAGGCGAGGGCATGGCCGAGGCTTATAGCGATGGGGCAAGAGATGGGCCGGCCGGCTGGGGCAGCAAGGCCCCGAAGCCATGGGCAGAGAGTAAGTCTCTCCCCGCTCTAGGCCCCGGTGGGGAGAGCCCCGATCCTCTAGCTGGGGAAGAACGCAGCTGGTGCTTCTCCCCGGTGCTTGACCCTCTGCAGCCCAAACCAACCAGAACTCTGGGTTTTGGGAATTCTGTGCGACAGCTGCGGGAGGTTGACAGATCTAACAGGTCCCCAAGTCACTGAGGATAGCTCTCAGGCAGCACTTCCTGCCCTAAGCAGAAGCACAGAGACGCCCCCCAGGAGGCCCTGGGAGGGGTTCCAAGCTCGAGCAGTCACGAGTTGGGCTGGCAGGAGTGAGTCGGGGCCCCTGATGCTCACCACATTTCCATGGGATGTGGTTTGACCCCTCTGCTCCACCCCCGTACAGTGGAGGCCAACCTCCACAGAGGCGCCCCCCCCCCACGCTAGGAACACACTGTCTCCCTAAGCCAACACTCCACCTGCACAGACCAGAGCTCTCCCATCAAGAGATTCCCTGTGGTACAGAAAGCTAAGAGGTCACACTACGGGAGGCATCCGCATTTTTTTTTTTTTTTTAAGTTTTTATTTATTTATTTGAGAGAGAATGAGAGATAGAGAGCATGAGAGGGAAGAGGGTCAGAGGGAGAAGCCGACTCCCTGCCGAGCAGGGAGCCCGATGCGGGACTCGATCCCGGGACTCCAGGATCATGACCTGAGCCGAAGGCAGTCGCTTAACCAACTGAGCCACCCAGGCGCCCGGCATCCGCATTTTCAAAGAAAGGACTGCAGAGGGTGATGTCTACTCTGAAGGAGTGGGTTTCGTTGTACAGAGAGTGGCATTAAAGGTTTCACAGGAGACCAATAAAGGAAACATTTCCCTTTCCCCTCAAATGGACAGTCACTTCATCAATGTATAAAGCAAGACATAGTCAGGGCCTGGCTCAAGATCTGCCTGTGACTAAGTAGAGCTGAGACAGGGTTCTAACAGAGCAGGGAACGGACTCTGCCTAACAGCCCACCGAGCGGCCAGGCTGCTGTCAGCAAAGACATGTGCAGAAGCAAGTAAGCCCCATGCAGTGTGGATGGTTCCTCGCCACCCCCACCCTGGGCTGTGCAGGGGAGACCTGCCTCCCCCTGTACCTACTGTGGGAGCTCCGTTCTCCCCGCTCAGCTTCCAGCCCCTGACAGCTGGTGGTGCTGATGTTGCTGTCAGGTCAGCTGGTCCCCATACCGGACCGTCTAGCTCTCTGTTGCTGGGGCAGCCCTGCCCACATCCTTGTGCTCAGGTCGTTGGCCAGCATGCGAGGCCCGGGCCCGGGCAAGGCTTCGGGAGGGCAGCAAACAGACCCAGCTGCTCTGCCTCTAAGAGGAGATGCCAAGTTAATGAACTCTATTCACATTGCAGGGCTGTGATCCCTTTTACCTTGAACATGAACTCACAGGCGGATTAAAGTGAACTAAAACCTACCATTTGAGTTACATTCTCAGCTGATTGGAAACATGCATTACCTCCCCATGACCGGGCCGCGAGAAGGGAAGTTATTATTTTTCTTTTAGAGTTTGTAAACTCTTTATGACTGAGGCAGCTTTAATCCTGCTGGGGGAAAAAATGATCCGGGAATAAATTGCTCTCATTTACCTTTGTTTTCCAATCACATGCTCCAGTGGGAACAAAACATCCTAAGTGAAGGGATGTGGGAAGCCAGGTGATCCCTGACAGAAGAGTTTAATTATTTTCTTCTTTAAGCACGTGAGCTGAAAAGGCTTCTAAGTGCCGTTTGGCATGGGGTTTGTTCCACAAAAATGTGCACTCCTCCGATGATGCCTGTTCTCCCCGAGCTCCTACTATTTTCTGCCTCTTCTTTCCAGGGACAGGTAGCCTCCATCTCACCACCGTGCCCGGCTCCAGACCTTTGGGAACCAGGAAGGAGCCCGAGAAAGGGCAGATTTGAATAAAGATCAAATCACAGTCCTGGAAGGAGGGAAAGACTCGTGGGGCCTGCAATTCTGAAGGGGGCTTTCTGTCCTCCTCTGTTATTTCTCTGATCCTCTGTGTTACCTAACACAGAAATTACACAGAGCAGGTACCGAGCAAAACCATCATGACGCCCAGGCTCTGAGCCAAGCATTCTAACTGCTGGAAGGAGCCCCAGCTGAGACATCTGCCTCGCTTGCCTTTAAAGATGCAGAGGCAGGGGGTAGGGGGGTGGGGAATCTTCACAATAAAGCAGAGACAAGGGCCTTCCAAGGGAGAGCTTGGTCAGGCAGCCAGCCATGGGGTTTCCATAATTGCTTCTCTGAGGGATCAGGACGCCATGATATTATTCTTCCGTTCATCCACAGCTTGCTGCACATGGGTTGAGAAGATGGATCTTATTAGGTCACCTTGTTTGGGGGAAGGAGGGTGGGGGTAGAAGAGGGTGCGGTTCAGGATCCAGTCAAGAAAACAAAAACCACTCTATGTATTTTAAAAAGTGTAACTCAGGGAATGAAGTACATAGGCGATGTATCTCAGAAATCAGCCAAAGCCAGGAGTTGCTACCACGGCTCACTCCCACTCTTGGGGCTCCAGAGGCAACCGAGAGCAATCCAGAGCAGACACTGCCCGGCATAGAGCTAGAAAGACTGTGAATTTTCTCTGCAGAAGCTGGGACCTCAGAGGCAGAGGCCATCCGGAGGGGGCTGGAGCCAAAGAGGAGATACACCTGCTGCTAGATACTGCCCCCCCTCCCCCCAAGGCGAGATGCTGAGAGAGAGGGTGAAATATCCTGGCTTCTCCCCTTGCCCACCCCTCGTGGGCTGAAGGCAGCAGAAGGAAGCTGACGAGCAAGCCCGGGGAATGCACCCCGAGGGGTGGACCCCCTGCAGTACAAAGCAGGGGAGAGAAGAGAGAGAGACGGGCCTGAGGGCCAACAGTCAAGGTCAGCTCAGGGACTATGCCCACTGCAATGTGCCTCAGCCCCTGCCTCAGCCCCGGGCCACCAGAAAGGGAGACAAAAGGGGGCCCAGCATGGAGGGCTCCACTGCCTGGGGGCCTCCTGGAGGCAAAAGGGAAACACAGATCACCCTCCCATAGGTCACCCCAACCACATAACCTTTGGCGTCAGTAAGAAAGGAAAGAGGGGGGCGCGAGAGGACAGGAACCATCCAATGAGGTCCAGAGAAGAGTTGGGTGCAGCCGTCCTGGCTTAGCCCAGATGATCCTCCAGGGGTGCCTGCTTTGAAACCCCCTCTCTTCCCATCTCAGAGGCAGGGCAGCAGAGGAGGGGCCAAATCCCCACTGCCCTCCAGGTACTGACTCTAAAACTCGCACCATCCCCCAAGCCACTGATCCTCATGTACGAACTGGGAACGCTCTCCGTGCCTCCCTCCCCTCCGTGGAGGCTGGAGCACACATATGTGGATAATGGAGCTCAGCATGCACACCTTGGGAATGCTCAGTGAATGCCAGCTATTAATGTTGACTGCCACCTCTCCCCAAATATTTCTTCCTCCGGAAAGCTCTCCAGCCTCTTCTTCATTTTTTTTTTTAATTTTTTAAATTTATTTTTGTGAAAGAAAGAGAGAGAGAGCAAGCACGAGTGGGGGGTAGGGGCCAAGGGAGAAGCAGCCTCCCTGCTGTGCAGGGAGCCCAGTGCCGGACTCAATCCCAGGACCCTGGGATCATGACCTGAGCCGAAGGCAGACTCTTAACCGACTGAGCCACCCAGGCGCCCTCTCCTGCCTCTTTCCACAAAGGAATCACCTCCCTCCTAGCTCCAAGCCTGTCTGGGGACACTCAGAGGGGTTTTCGGGCAGTGATCCCTGGTATCAAACACGAGAGGTATTTCCTCAGCTGGGAATACGTGTTCTTGCTGTGCACTCTGCGCCATGCCAGGGCCTCCCTGCCAACACAGCCCCGAGTGAGGCACAAGCGTGCAGACCCGTCTGTGGATGGAACAGCCCCCTGGCACACAGTACGTCCTCAGTAAGAGTCTATTGCCTGAACGACAAGAAAATAAGCTGGGAGAAGGAATTCGGGTGGGGTAGAAGACCTTTAAGGAATGAGGCTTTGAGAAGAACCTCAAATCACAACAAACCGGCCGGTTGAACAGGGTAAAATGCACCTTAAACAACTAATTACTCAGGAGGGGAAGAGGCCAGAGTGAGTGGTTTGCTCAGTGAATGGAGTCACCATATCTATTGGACCCTGAGCCCAGGAAGCAAGGACAAATCCCCGCAAGGCCATGCAGGGCCCACACCCCCGATTCTTCTGCTCTCTGCCAATAGGTTTTCCTGTTTCCAGATGAGTCTGATCTCCCTGGCTCACCACAGGTGCCCAGCCCACCACCATCCAGAAACACACGCCTGAGGTGCAGTGCTCCCAGACTTGGACCTCTGCCCCGGGGAGCCCTGGGAGCAAGCAGGCTGGATGCTTGATGTCAGAGGTTTCCAGAATCAGCCTTGGGCCTCATTACTGAGGAACACATGGTCCCCTGTGGACACTCGTTGGAGGCCAATGAGGGAAGTGAATAATCAGGGGGCTCCATCTTTCACTTTTGTGTTCCGCTTCCCCTGGGCCTGCGGTTGCCGTGCAGATTTCAAGTTGAAACGTCAGGAAACCTCCCGTGGTTTGACTTCTCCTTCCCCGTTCCACCCCCGCCACACACACACAGACTCACACACATGCCTGCCTCTGGTCTCTGTCAAGCACCCTGGGGAAAGCGTTGGTTAGAAACCCACAGAACAATTAGGAGCTGTGAGTTTGACTCCTCAGTTAAAGAAAGAGAAAATACCTCCACTGGAGATTCTCAGCAGGCTTTACAAAACCAGGGCGAATGTTCTGGCGCAGCTCAGGGGAAACACAGAAGATGAGGAGAGATCTCATTATAAGAATGGTACGGGGTATCTGGAGGAGGCCAGAATATTCTGAATGAAGAAATGCCGTATACCCTGGACACAGGGTCCTGGGGATGCTGGAAGAGCTAAGTCTGATGGAGAATGCAGGGGGTTGAAATCTTCCATTGGGCATGGCCGAAAGACTCGGAGAAAGCCACCAAAGTCTCTGCAGCCCTCACTGTGCCAATCTCTAATGTCAGGCGTGTGCTGGGAAATGGTTAACCCCCAGCTCTCTGGGGGGGGTTGGAGCTCTGATTGTAAAGCTTGGCAATTTCTGGTTTCTGTGATGGAAATTCTCACACCAGGGTCAGTTTCAAGGTGTCAGGATGACATCACTGAACCTGGAGCTGGAAAGAGATGCACAGTGAGCACACCGTCTTGTAGCATTTCTGCACTCAGATACAATATCTGTCAATACCTCCGGAGCACAGATACAGCAAGATACGGTACAATGTTTAGGAAACAGTGAATTTTTTATCATTTATTAACTATATTTTTAATATAATTTATTTGACTGTAAGTTCATGCAATTTAATTTTTAATAATGACTGGTTTTTTAAATTTAAATTCAATGAATTAACACATAGTGTATTATTAGCTTCAGAGGTAGAGGTCAGTGATTCATCAGTTGCATGTAACACCCAGCGCTCATTACATCATGTGCCCTCCTTAATTGCCCATCACCCAGTTACCCCATCCCCCACCCTCCTCCCCTCCAGCAACCCTGTTTGTTTCCTAGAGTTAGGAGTCTCTTACGGTTTGTCTCCCTCTCTGATTTCGTCTTGTTTTATTTTTCCTTCCCTTCCCCTATGTTCCTCTGTTTTGTTTCTTTTTTCTTTTTTAAAGATTTTATTTATTTATTTGAGAGAGAGAGAGAGAGAGAAACAGCATGAGAGGGGAGAGGGTCAGAGGGAGAAGCAGGCTCCCTGCTGAGCCGGGACCCCGATGTGGGACTCGATCCCAGGACCCTGGGATCATGACCTGAGCCGAAGGCAGACGCTTAACGACTGAGCCACCCAGGCGCCCCCTCTGTTTTGTTTCTTAAATTATACATATGAGTGAAATCATGTGGTATCTGTCTTTCTCTGGCTGACTTATTTTGCTTAGCATAATACCCTCTAGTTCCATCCACGTCACTGCAAATGTTAAGATTTCATTCTTTTTGATGGCTGAGTAGGATTCCGTTGTATATTTGTACCACATCTTCTTTATCCATGCATCTGTCAATGGACATCTGGGCTCTTTTCATAGTTTGGCTATTGTGGACATTGCTACTATGAACATTGGGGTGCAGGTGCCCCTTCAGATCACTGTGTTTGTATCCTTTGGATAAATACCTAGTAGTGCAGTTGCTGGGTCATAGGGTAGCTCTATTTTTAACTTTTTGAGGAACCTCCATACTGTTGTCCAGAGTGGCTGTTTAATAATCAGCTCTTTCAAGACAGTCAGAGGCAGCTCCAGCACAGCCAAATGGAGAAAGTTGCAGCC